ACAATGAAGGAGGAGCGGAATCACTGAAAACGTTAATTCCGTAAAAAATACCAACTTCACTGATTGTGTTCGGCACGAAAATGGTTTCCAAAAGTGTGGGATTAAAAATCTGAACGGAAATGAACAATTATCTGTGACTTATCCGGGTTAGTATAAAATCCGGTGGATTCCAGCTGATTTGTCTCAATATCTGTCTCTCGTCAAAATGCGTAGCTCGGCTGTTTTGATCTTTCTTACCGTCTTGCTGTTTGCTGTGATGTTCGATCGCGGCGAAGCGATTCCACGTGAGTTGAGCGTTTATTACAATACGACTTCACCAGACTTCACACTGAATATCTATATGATAAAACCAACGTTTTTTGTTGTGAGTCTTCTAAGAATTCAACCGGAATTACATTTTGACAAAATCACATACAACTGGTTTGTAAAAGGAATGTGAGTGACCGAAAATTGTTAACTTCAACGGAAGTTCGTTTAACAAATAAATTGTAGGAGATGAGGTATTTTATGTGCTATAACGATACACCCATCTTGCTTACTGACTGAAAATGAAATGGAATGGCTTGCACTGAAATTCTGATCTGTTGAATGCGTTATTCAAGAAGTACTTGTTTTCGGTTTCAAAGGGCTGAGTTTTGTTTTTGTGCAGAATACTATATAGTTTGAAATTGTCAAACAATTTGTAGAACAACTATTGCTGATTTCGTCGTATTCCAAAATCGGATTTGAGTTGTTATACACTTCAATGTGTTATTAAGAATAACGAGTGAAATTAACAATCGATTCATTTTTATCACTTTCTAAAGTAAGAATGTTTAATTCCGTCTTCTTTGAAATATATTTTTCAGAACTTTGTCTACTCCCCGTGGATCCCGGGCCCTGTTTCGGAGGCATAAAAAGTTGGGCGTGGGACAGTAACGAAGGTACTTGTGTCCCATTCTTGTATGGTGGCTGCAGAGGCAATCGAAATCGTTTTCACTCCCGAAGGTCCTGTGAGAGGAGATGTGGTTATAAACTGAATTAGATTGCTGACCCAGTCGTACGGTGTGTATGAATGTTGTATTTTGCACGACAGATGCAATGAAACAACTGCAGTGCTTTGGTTGTTTTTCTTTTAATATTTGGATGGGCGGGAATGTTGTTCGGAATATGTACTCAGAACGGATAGATGAAAAGGAGAATCACGGCAAAATAGCAGACGTGCTGATCAAATATCAGTATTACCCGTGAAGGAATTGAACCTTGTGATCCGATTTAATTCGTTTTGCTTTGAGTTTTGTCGAAGAATATCTCTATGATTCATCAACTGACTAATACATCACATTCTAGATAAGAATTTGGTGTATAAAATGGGAACCAAAACAAATGAAGATTATCTGCCTCGGTTTCAGAAACCGCAAATGATTGACTTTGATATCGAATCTTACGTTTGATCCGTTTTACTCATGTGACTTGGGTGAGAGGGAGAAGAGGAGGTGGAAGGCAATGAGAGGTAGAGTAATTCCACAAATTATTTTTTTGGGAACACGAGGTGGTGGGGTGAATTATGATGACTACTTATAACTGCCTTCGCGATGGCTGGGATCCGCTTTTTAATCGGTTTAGATTGGAAACCCCGAAAACAGTCGAGAGGTCGAAGTGCTTCAATCCCACTTAATGTGTGATCGAAATCGATGACGCATGAAACGATGGCACTTGTAATGGTTTTCATTACACAAGTGTTCAGCCAGACCGAAACGTACACCCGAACACTCGTAGACTGACACTTGATCGTGCAGCCGAATCAAGTGACTTCAAAGGAGCAAGTCGACAGGTACACAAAAATGACACTGCACAAGCAGATATCTTGCATGGGAAATCACCATCATGATATGCAGCGAAAACACGATGGCTTTAGAGAACAAATTCGTTTTTCACAACTGGTTCTTAGGGCTAATACAGTAATATTGTCAAATAGAAATTATATGTGCTTCAATGTCTACGTGCGATTCGTCATTTGTGATTGGTTTTGATGTGTGATTGGGAAAGAGTAGGTAGGGAAGATGTGTCCGTAACACGACTGGAAAAAGATTGGGATGTGGACGTGTCATCACGTGTTTGGGTAGCGGGGTCAGGCCAAATCTATCTCCGTGGTATGTGTCACATTGTGGTCCAGGCAGTCTGAGTGATTGCACGAATCGCTTTTGAGAACAAAGCGATGGATGTTATATTATTTTTTATTATTGTATTAGAGATGACTTGTGTAGGCAACTGTGTCTACAGTTCAGTGAAAAATATTTTCACCCTTACAATTGGATACAAATGAAACAGAAAATCATATACAACAATGGTGAAACTTAAAAAGGTGTTCATTTTTGAAGATTTAAAATTAGTTCGTTTCGGATCTTCACCATGTGAGAATACAAGCCAGATAGGGCACCGTTGAGTTGCGATACATTTTTATGCGGGAGGGTAAGCAGTGGAAATAGTGTCGGGTTGCACCGTGGAAACGGCAAGCAGATAAATCGGAATTGAGCGGATGACCGGGGTCATTGAGTATCTTATGACGGAAATTCTCACCTAAAGTGATATGCCAATGGCACAAATTTGTGATGAGTTTTTAAAGGAATAAGAGCAACACGGCTAATAATTATTGAGCCTCGTTGAAGAGTAATGAAATCCTTTCTGAGTAGTCTAAGGAAAATAACGGGACGAACAATGAAGC